GTTTCAATGTGAATGAAGACTTTTCTAGAATCATGTCATGTTCATAAGGATATTTTTTTAATGATTTAAATGTTTCTGTGTAAAAGGGGCTTTACCTGAGTACCCCATGCTCAAATTTTGAGGTTAAATTTTAAAGTAAATGACCAAACTTTTAGAATAAAATCCTAAAACAGAAGTTGATTGTATATAAGGCATTTTAGGCACAAAACTGCTGATCACCACATTATTTTCCTCCAATAAAAACATTGTTTCTCCCAATTAGCCCTTAATATTCCAGCCTTTGCAGCTTTCCCTAAAGAACAGAACTAGTGGCATTTATCATGTGCAGGTGGGCGTGCGTGAATACGTGCTTACGTCTAACCTCTTCAGACTCTACGGAATTGCCCGGCTTGCCCTCCTAAAGTAGATTAGCTTGAAAAAGAACGGCGCGTACGTTGTTGCCTGGATACAAAAAGCATCATTAAGCACAATTATCAGCCACTTCAGCTCGCAATAAACAAGCTTCGTCGCAGATTTCAAAACAATATGTCATGGAGGACGACTGCTTATCCTGAGCTGCAGACAGAAGACGAGTGTAGACAATTAAAAGATGCCAGAGAAGAAGGGGGAAACTCAAAACGAAAATGTATGGACTAAAGATTATCAAATCATTTTAGTAATGACATTAATGATCCCTCTTTGACACAGACTATAGAGAAGATTTATTTTTGGAAACCCAAAGAAATGAAAATACCTTAAAAATAAATGCAAAGAGAAAAACACAAGTAAACAAGCAACAAAAAAGTCCTGTTTGCAGTGGAGTGGGATGACCACAGGGAGCTTTTGATAAAGAAAACAAAGTTGAACAAGARAGCGAATCACAGAAATAAGGCAGCTCAGCTCATCCATCCTAATTATTCTGTGCATCTCCCTGAAGGTACTTTCAGCTGTAAATTAAAGAGAGCAGAGTTCTCGTCAAATTTATCCAGCGAGGAAGAAAGACATGAAAGGGAGTGAAGAAACGGGGGAGGGGGGAAAAAGAGTTTGGGGACAGAGTGGTTTGCTTTAAAGAAAGCTCAAGTTCACAATAAAGTTGGAACATCTTCTGTAAAGGTTTATAGATCGTTCTAAGTGCAATCATTTATAAAAGTTTTAAAACTGAGGGAGAGTGGGAATAGATTTTTATCTGTGTAAAAACCTTTTTCATCAGTGAACAAACAGGTCAAGGAGTTACTATAAACACAGGTTTCAGTGTACAGGGTGAGTCGAAAGTCACAGGACACCCTTTTGTTGTAGAATGAAAAGTGAGGATTTAACTAGAACATGGCCACCATCTTGAAAGCTGATATATTGGATCAAGGGCAAGTTTTTCCAAAGATAGGCCATCTCCATAACTTACTGAGGTATATAGATATGTCATTTCCCCCTTTTCTTTCTGAAATAAAAGTGTGTCCKGTGACTTCTGACTCAGCCCGCTGCGAGATCTTCACTTTCATCTGTTTAAAACTGATAATGTGAAACAGCTACTCAGTAGTGCATGCTGACACTACACAGGACTCATGCAAACAGACATGAACAATGTCTTCTTTGGAAAATAAGTCTGCAAATGTTAATACTCTTGTTTCTTCCAACAAATTAAAAACGTTCTGTCTCTAAAGGTGTAAAAGACAGTGTGAATGGTTTTGGACATACTACCAGCTCCCCGTGATCTGAAAAGGAGAAGACGATAAAGAAAATAGATGAAAAGATGGATGTTCAGCAACAACGCATACGTGTTTACGCTGAATTAAATATTTACACTGACAAATGTTCTTTCTTTGCCTATTACTTCAATTTTACTWGAACTTTGTGAAGTAGAAAACAAAAAGGGAAGTCAAACAAAATGCTGCTGTTTGGATTCATTATTTATCCCTTCCAATAATTTGTAAAGGGAAATAATAAAATGTTTTCCAGCACATAGACATCTGTTACAATTGGCCCGATAAGGTTAAAACTAAAGTTACTTACCCAAATGCAATAAAACTGCTATTTTAAAAATGATGTGTGTATATATATATATATATATGATTTGCCTATGAATGTATAATGTTTGAAGCAAACAATAATTAAACATTTACTTTAGCGAGCTGAMGTGCAACAGCATAAGACAACTTGAGTACAGACTCCTGTGTGGTTGGGGYTCTGGTAAAAAGTTTGTTTATATACTTGTGACTTCAGTAAATGTCTCATATTTAGCTTTGTGCAACATGTTGTAGTGGTGACTTATATTAAAACGCTTCACTGCAGACAGTGTCTCTGAGCTGACTAAAATAATAGGTTTGCCAAGGAAATCTGCATACAGACAATCTGCATGCGATTTCTCTGTTCAGTTTTTCTTCCTCCGTTCAGAGGCATGACTTCCTCACTATTAGAGAARACACGTGCACCAGATGGTTTTTACTTTGGAGGCATCATCTAGTGGCAAATTATGCCACTTCAGCCACTGAGGCACTTTTATACAACTTTGCTATTTTCTATGATTAATCAAAGAGCTGGTTTGACTGCCCCCCTTTTTTAAAGAAAAAAAACAATTATTTTCGTGGGGGAGGGGATGGGGCGGAGCTCACTAGTGGGCCGAACGGAAGTCACCCAGTCACTGGATGTGGCCCRTGGGCCACCAGTTTTACATCCCTGACTTTTACAGCACATATGCAAAAAATATCTGCATGACAAATCTCCCTGTTTGAAATTAGGATTTATTTTATGATGCATTTAGTTTTTTCAAGTGTGTCATCTATAAACTCCCTCTCTTTCACACTAAAACACTAAAACTGCTCAGTTAATGGGGTACACACACACACAGTTAATGCAGTTCAAATGGCTTGTGGAGAGCAAATAGATTTTCCATCTCTCCCCTTGAATATTATGCAAGTGCTGGGGCATGTAGGCTATATGGGGCATGGTGGGATGAATAATGAAATGGAGAAGAAGRAAAAAAAGAAGAATTGCAGGGTTAGCMGATAAGAGCAAAGTGAGCACACACAAGTGCAAGATGAAAAGTGTGTGCTGACCTTTTGCTTTCATTCTAGTCATGGTCATTTATTTCTCCTCTTTGAAGTGTCTCTCKCTGCTGTCATAGATCAAGTTGAGCCACAAGACCGGCCCGAACCCAATACAAATCAGCCCTGTTTGCCTCCAACTTCCACCAGCAGAGACTACAAATTCCATTAAAACACACACACACATGCTTCTCATCCTGCAGTCAGTTTTTGCTCCATGCAGATATTAATGGGGGGATCGTTCTGAACAGTATTAATACACAGAGGAAGATTGGCTCTCAGTCGTCATTGTGAAAGCAGATTATGAAGAGTTTAATTTCATCAGATAAGTACGCTTTCATTTGTGAGCAGACAGCTGCAGGCGAGAAGTCTGACAGGCCTTCAGTGAGACAAGAATGCCCCCTGCTGTCCGTTAAACTCTACTCCTTATACAAAAAGTGGCTCTGTAATCTAACTTTTTCACGTAAATACCAAAAATCCACATCCATCCATCCACAGGGTTTCTCTGTATGTTTTGTGGGTATTTTCTTTATGATTTACTGGACTAATGGGGATCCTTTTAAATAAACAAATAAACTACACAGAGTATTAAAGTGCATGTGACGCATCTCCTTCAAATACACAAAAGTCAAAGAAAACATTTTTTATATTTAAAGGGGCAATATTATGTGTTTCTCGGGCATATATTTAAACACTATACCATAATAATGCATCTATGTCACCTTTAGCTGTTAATAAAATGCTGTTTTTATGTTTAAATAGAAAATAAACTTATCTTCTCATCACTTCCTCTTCTAAACAATGTAAAATTGGCCTCTGTCTCTTTAAGAACCACCTTCCGCTTCTGTCTCGCCCATTTCGGTGCGGGCGGGGAGGGGGGGGGCTGCTATGATGCAGTTTACTTGGCATCTGAAAATATATTTCCTCAAAAGTTTTTTTAATCTGAAAAGAGCTTCATTAAGAACTAATGTTGAGAGCTCAGCAGACTCCGTCATGAGGAAGTTCGGCTTAAAGACGTGTCCCAGGGGCTTTTCTGGTCCCCACCTGTCGTTTTGCTTCCTAAAAACGCTGCAGGATTTCTCAAACATGCATGAATGAGTCAGAGCAAGGCTTTGGGCATGTATTTTTATGAGAGTATAACATTATAACATGATATAATACTCCAAAAAGTTGATTTTGCATGATATTGCCCCTTTAAAAACTAGGCATAATACACATGATTTTATTATTTTTGTCACAAAATTGACACATTTTCTTTTGAACCTGGCTCAGCTAAAGTGAAACAGGAAGTAATGTCAAAGGGGAAGTCTAAGAAAGAAAACTCTCTGGTATTTGTTGAAATAATATTTGAACTCTGACTCTTCTTCGTCTCTCTGATAGGAACTCAAAGATTTTTTWAAAAAAAGCATCAAGTTCTTCTCTACAGTCTGAGTTGTTGGCTGTTGCAATGCTCTATTCATGTGCAGACATTCCCCTGTGACATCACTTCCTGTTACTTCACATACAAATATCTCAACAACTGTTCATCACAGTGGTGTGATTTTTTTGTGCAGTGTTATCAATGTTATCGTTATAAAATACATTCATATTTATTACAAAAATTATGTCATAGGCACTTTAACGCTTTACTGTATTATTTTGTAAATTGTTATTTTTAGAGTTCATTCATGTGGTTTTTATCCATAAACGGTGCTTTCCAAATGGTTTTAACTAAGTTGTTATTCTTGAAATGGTTATATTCAGAAATGCACATTTTCCTTGACTTTTAGACTTCAGTCAAAGTGTATTTGAAGCTTGTGTGAGGATGAGAGTGAATTTCTTCTGTCAGTTCTCTCCTGCTGTGTCCTGCAGGGATTTGGTAGATTTCTGGCAGCTCCAGTAGACAAAAAAGAAAGGTTCTCCTGCAGGTTCTTTTAAATAATTAATGTTGAAGTTTCTGTTTTGCAATAAATCTCTTCTTTTCCTTCTCCCTGTCCACGTCAGCCAGGATGTCAGGGATGGACGTTCTGCAGCCGGACCAAAATGAGACCGGCATMACTCCGATCGACAACGGGACTTTCCTCCGTCTGTCCCCGACGTCCGCCTCCATGTCGGCGGCTGCCTCCTCCCCGGGACACCAGGCCAACGTTTACGTGTACGTGTGGCTCTTCCTTGGCCTGCTGGTGTTCCTGCTGACGCTGCTCGTCATCTCCCTCCACAGGCTGAAGAACATCATCTCCTCCTCCTCGTCGGTCCCCGACTGCAGCAGCGAGGGAGGGAGCTCCTTCACCAACATGGAGATCTGCAGCGTTTCCTCCACCGTCTCCGCTCTCTCCACCTCGGGGAGCTAGGACTGAGCTCATTAAGACTCGAGGGGCTAAATGTGTGCAGCACAGGCAGACGTGCATTCACAGGAGGGCCCAAATAAATACAGAATGACATTACATTCATGCATATTTTGATCCTGAAAGTGCAATAATTCCAGAAATATGAGTAATAAAGCGTAAATGAAGGGTGAGAGTGAACACWTTTTTCTGGACTTTTCACCCACTGCAGTGAAGCACAAAATGATAAATGCTTTTTGTTAGATTTGCTTTCAAAGAACAGTTTTGAAGCTTTGTAAAGCATGTCTTATAATACTGTACCTGCAGGTCACATTGCAAAACTAATAAATAAGGCTTGCCACTTTTCATGTCATAAACTAGGATCGTCTTCTGATAAAGTGTGGAAAAGACAATGTGCGATGTCGAGGATGACTTGCAGCTACGTTCACACAAATTTTAGGTTAGATCAGTATCTGTAAAACTGACTGAATCATAGCCATTTATTTGTTTTTTAAAGATCAATTAGCTGTGATGACCCTGCTGAATTAGATTGGGTCCAAAAACTTAATCAGATGAATAATTTTCTGAGTTTCACTAAAATCTGTTTAAAGTTTTTTTATGTTGTGGCAATACTTTTTTGTACAGAGATACATGCATGTGTCACAAATGCTCATTTTCGGATTTAGGGAAATAACTATGAACATGGCAAATTGGCTTCAAATCTCCTGAAGTCTGTAAAAAAAAGTTGCACAAAGGAGAACAAAGAGAAGCAGTGACGGCTGCAGACAGGCAGCTTTTCACTTCTGCTTCATATAAAATCTGATTCTACTTCTGGATGACAAACTCCACCTGCGTTGCTTTCTCTTGTTTGTCAGTTCATGTAGCATCTGATCTCAGTCTTTGCTGAGGCTGAAGGAAGAGTCTCTGTAGCTGTGCAGTGTTTGATAAAGTATTAAAAAAATGTAGTTTACAAAGATCTTTTTGTCCCGTTAAATATTTAAAAAAATGATCATTTTGTTTTTTATGATTCCAAAGTTAGAAATTTCCCCAAAAAAGGACTGTTTCAAGGGCATTTTATATCATTTCYACTGATGAAGCTCCTCAGGTTAAGGTTGCAAAAGGAGTGGAAATTTTCTGGTAAAAGAAAATGTTCAAACAAAACAGCAACATTCCATGGGGAGATTGTTTTTATAGTTCAGCATTGTGATTCAAATCAACTCCAAACAAAAACATTCAGTAATTTTTTTTAACATAAAATACACCTAATTTCAGTAAACTCCAAAGCACAACTGTTTATAACACTGAACCAAACTTTTTACAAAATTCTTTCCAACCTGTTCCTACATGTCCAGCATCTGTTTTTTTAGGCTGTGGTCCCTCATATTACCTGCTAAAGCAATGGACTCTGGTTGTTTTAGGTCAAGATTATTTAAAAAWTTCCCCAACTATATTAAAAATCCCCTGTTGAAGCTTTAGTATTTTGATGCAAGCATGAAGGAGAAGTCTGTCTTACAACCAAGGATGAAATTGAAAGTGTTGACTGTGGACTACTTTGCAAAACTGTCATAACTTTATTTGTCTGTTTGTATTCTGCTGAGGAAAAAAGATGTCAAATGGAAAAACAGCACGTATTCCAATAAAGTATTTTTTTCTGTGCAACACTTTACCAAACTTGAAATTATTCCTCRTTTAATGGAAAGATCATTCCTTCTAACATCAGACATCACTTGGGGGACTCAGCAAAGGGTGATGAATCCCTGACTTGTGTCTGCGTAGTGCACGACACCACACATCCTCCCTCCTTCTACAATGTACTTCATGACTCTTCGCCTTTGCTGTCTGTAGAGCCCCAAGAGTCCCAGGACCAGGTGGAAGGTCTGACCTGCAAAGTCCCTGCAGCTCATCAGTAGTGTCGCAGCAGGTCTTTCACCCATTTCTCTGACACTCAGCCGCCAAGTCAGCAACTTGGCTTTTTTTTTAATCGTGAGCTTCGTCCATCTGGTCTTCCAAGAAGATAGTTAAAATATGCATATCCAAAGCTATACCATCTGTATGCTCCCATTTAGTCCACACCCCTTTCTTGGTTACGCCCACCATTCTACTAAAGCGGGCCTCCTCCAGCCCCGCATGTACGGAGAGCCATTTCACTCAAAATGAACTAGATAAATAGATACTGTAATTCATAAAGTATTAATGCATATTCCATTAAATMATGATAATCATAATAATGATCATCTTTTTCAGAGTGACAGTCATTTAACTCTTTTGACATAAAACAGACAAACAAGCTCAGGTGGTGATTTCCTTAATACCAACCCACAGAGAAAACCCCGCCCCCTCATTTGTATATTGGAACATGAAATAAAATGATAAGAAATAGTAAAACTGCATGAAACAAAAAGGGAGTTCAAAATAAAAGTCTGTGCAATATGTAAAAAAAAAATTACAAAATAAGTGGCACAAAATAAAATTACAATATGAAATAAATAAATACAATTAAATAAATAAAGTAAAAAATATTTTATAAATAAATGAAATGAAATGCAAAAAATGTATTACAATAAATTGATGTTTTTTTAATTTCATGGGGACATTTATTTATTTAATGGAATTTTAATTATTACTTATTCATTTTATTTTGAATGAAACAGCTCTCCATACACACGTACCTCTTCCTGGATCTGTTTCTTGCTTTGCATCAACTCTGTTTTGGATTACTGCCCAGCCCATCCCGACCTATTCCCACCGTGCCCGCCAGGGTTCTGTGTCGCAAGCTGGCCTCCACCCTACCCTGTAAGACAGCCTTTATATCACACAATATATACAGTATATATATAATTAACTGAAGGTCCAGACCTCAAATTCTTTTGCATATTTTATTTTTCTTATCATGATTTTTTTCCAACTCACACATGTCATATTTTACATCTTTGCAATAAAACATGAATACAATAGTTTTTAGGGTTTCATAGATCCAAAAATATTTAACCTTTTTTTTTCCTTTTTGGATACGTAAGTTGAACCTGTCGATAAGAGTATGTGCATGTTTGATCGAGATGGCTTCACACATACAGTACGTCTCACATGTCGTCCTCTCTCCGCGCCCCTCCAGCCTCTATCAGCTACAGAATCCTAATATTGCTTACAACTGTGAGGTTGTAAAACACATGAGTTCAACGGTCTTAAATACAAACATCAATGCACAAATAATCCCAAAGGAGAATGGACCTAAACGGAAAAGGCAGCCGACCAGAAAGAACCAAGCTAATAAATAATGATATGTGATTGGTGCAAAGTGCAAATACAAAACAAACTTTTACATTGAGTTGATTCTCTTTGTTGTTTTTTCCTCTTTAAGTAATCAACAAGTGAGTGTGAGTGAAGGTTTCCTTTGCACTTTTAGTTCTATTCAGCTGAGTAAGTCTCCTGCCAAGCCTGAACCAAGACTATATGTACATATTTGACAAAAACAATCACTAAATATACAAAAGGAAATCATGTCAGTCTGGTGTTTATCATCTGTGGTGGCGCTGGCAAGATCTCATCGTTACCGTCATCAGTTTAAGAAAAACAAAAACAAAAAAAAATCTTGGATACCACCATCGTTAGCATCGGCCTCGTCAATGTTATATTAACTATTACACAGTATTTTACATACAGCAAGTCATTAATAAATTAAAGGTGAGAAGCGCAGTTTGTGTAGTGAAAGAACAAGTGCGACTCTGAAAAGGAAGCAGAGCCTTATTTACATCCAACTCAAGATTTAACCCTGCTGTGGTCGGAAAATAAATAAATAAATAAACCCAAGCTGATTAAATCAAAGGAAAACAAAATTATATACATAAAAATAAACAACTAAAAATTCAGGCAATTTTTCCAACCGTGAATTTTAAGATCAAGCCAATAGCACCGATTTATTTTAATTTTTTTGAAGAGTGGCTGGTGCGCTTTGTGAAAATCAAGTAAACACTTCGAAGGAAACTGGAATTTATCATCCACTCAAATATTTACGAACCAAAACCCCACTAAAGTGAAAATTGTAAAACAGAACCTTAACAGGAAAAATAAATAAAAAGAAGCAAAAGAAAAAAGAAAAAGAAAGTCTCTCTAAGGGAAGGTTTAAATAGAGCGGGATCAGCAGTGATGGCCGCTCTGTGAGTGGTGCACGTGTGATGGACCTCAGCACAGTCTGCTTCACTCGCTCTTTGTCCTGCAGACGTTCTGTTTGGATCAGCAAGGGTTTGGTGTGTTTCTTCTGGGTATGATAGGTGTCTGTGGTTACACACGTGCTCAGAGGAAGCCGTCTCCACCAGCACTTGCCACAACATCCTCAGTTCAAGAGAATAAGAGCTTAAGGTCCGGCACTAATTTTTTCCTCCTCTGTCACTGTACCTGTGGTCCCCCCCTCCTCCTCCTCCCTCGCTCTGCAGACACACGGCAGAATACACCACCTCCTCGCTCCTCTCCTTCACGCTGTCGACCTTAGTATCTGTTCTGGTGCTCATAGTGCCAGCGGTTGAAGTCTATGTTGAAAGCCACGATGCTTCCAGAGGCCATGCCCGTGATTAAGGTCCTGCCAGCAGAACACACAACACATCATTTTAAAAATCCCAGCTCAGAAACCAAACAAATAAATCCATTCAGTCACTGTAATGTGGGCTAAGGGCTTTGGCATAGCCTCCTTTGCTCTGGTTGTGAGGTAACATAATTAATGTGCCATTGCGAATAGATTTTTTTTGTTTGTTTGTTTTTTCCTCACACGCACATAAAGAGTTTCTGGAAATGGGGCGAACAAGAAATGGCTCATGAAGAGAGTGAAAGCTTTTCCTTTTCTGTTACTCATTCGATGACTCACTATTTGTTTCTTCATTTCCAAGCTTACGCCACACGCTAGCATGCTACAGGCTATGTATCCTTCCACAGCTCTGCTTACATATGAACACTGGTAAGGCCTGCGTCACACGGAAAGATAATTATGCCGATTTTTGCCCTTCAAACAACCTTAGGGACCTCCAGATTATCGTGATGGCTGTAAAGATAATCGTAGCAGATCATCCCGTTGTGGGTGGTGAGTTAAGAGTGATCTAGTCGACTCGAAAGGACGTCGGGACCRCTCCGACCTCAAATCGGGGATATTCAACATGTTTGATTTTTTGGCCCGATATCACAGTGTGTGTAGTGTTCACCCGAGCTCTCAGCCTGATGAATGAGACGTGTAGCCCATCAGAAAGCGAGGTGACGTAAACAAAGAACTGTCATGACTCACCAGAAAGTCTGCTGGATGTTAAAAGTCCYATGGAATTGTTTTTCCTCTGGTAAAAATAGTCCACAAACGATCAACATTGTTTCTTCCTCGTCGCAAATGTTTATTTACTCTGAACTCACGTCTCTCTGGAGGTCACGTGAGATTTTTTCTTCGGACATATGAATTCTCGCGAGATTTCAGGAAGTCTCACGTGATTTAATATCTGACATCTGAATCATGAATGAAATTTATTTTTGTGTGTGGTCTCTTGCCGTGTGGCTGTACACCACACACTGTAGGACCAAGCCTGGTATATCCATGATTTTTATCTTCACGTGTGGGCTCTATCAGTCTTTGACAATCATCCGACTGTTTTAAAATCTTGCAGTGTGACGCAGCCTTAACCAGGTTAGTATCACCAAAATTAAAGCAAGGTTTAGTATCAGTGTTGAAAACAGAACATACTACCTACAGTAATTGTCAAACTATTTTGGAGGAAATTATTCTAAGAGTAATAAACAAATAACTTCATTTTTTTTACTTTGAAACAAGAATTATGAGTTTTAAACAGTGTTTTTTCAGCTTCTGTAGTGCTAATGCTAGCTTGTTCATTAAAAAACCAAAATCTACTTCCTGTATTTTTTATCTTTATAATAATCATATTGCTAACATTTTTGTAGCATATGACAAATTTTTTTTATTTTATTTTTTCCCAAGTTTAAAGTTTCTATTGAGTGTTGCTGCCTCAGCYACCAATAGGAGGTGCTGCAGCTCTGTCAGTGTCCCTGTTTCTGGAGTAATGATTATGTTTAAAAT